CCATTGTGAGAAATCAACGATGACTTCGATTGAGTTAAGGAACTCATGGATTAGTTGCATTATTATTGTAAGTAATGCTACTACATGAAATTCGTCCTCCAATCGCATCAGGTATTGCTTCGGCGTTCATTGCATAGCGGTGTCGCTTATGAAAGACTACCGATCCTTCTTTGTGTTAGTAGCAAAGGGAATAGTGCAGTTGCATGGTTTCTTCCATGTGCAACTGGCATATGACCCCCGGAGTATTAGAGCTTCGTAAGGGTAAGAGAGCCGTGCAGGTGGAACGCAGCATGGTTAGTAAAAATGACAAAATCAGTCCTGTGGAGGCGGCTTACGAACATTGATTTGCCTTGTACCCCGTTTTCAGGCTCCAGGAGACCTCAGTAGCGGTGACATTGTGGTCTACTGGATCAAGTACGCCAACCTGATAATACCATATTGCAAAGAGCGATGGGTTACGTTTGCAATTGACACTTATGTATATGACGGTTCGAATATCGCGGACGATGGTGTCCAGCGTGTGTCCCACATCATGGGGACACTGGAACCGTGACTTGCGTATGGATTAGTTTATAATGATGGCGGATTTGTACAGCATCTGCCTTACTCTAAAGCTCATATATAGCTTAATGAAAAAAATTCGCAGCTACCTTGGTCTCCCCGCCTTCCCGACTCCTACGACGAACAGACGCAACAACCTGTAGTGACGACTTGTCTTGCTCTGCCATCCTATAACGCATCTATGCTGCATGGTGTCAAGGCAAAAAACCATCACGATAAACTCTCTCGTCTTTCGAGGGTTAAGCTCGCTACGTGACTCAGCGATACACGCTTCAAGATGGAAACAAATGAGAATCAGGCAATCGTGATTACTTTTCGCTCAACCATAGTCCTTCCAAAAACCATATGAAGAAAGGTCAGTCAGTATATTTAAGAGTAATAGGCAATGCCTTTGACAACCGTATTGTAAACGGTAAATGCAATATCTAGCTTTGAATAAACATGGTACTTAAGTGTTGCCAGTAAAGTATGCACTTAACAGAACATTTTTCGTTGAAAGAACCATATAGCCACGGGGACTCCGAGGCGACGGTTTGCCCGTTGACACAGGCGATGATAAGTTTTATGGAGTTACAGGGGGTGCTCACTGTCGTTGTTTGTAACTCTGTGTGGTCGATAATCATGTGTTTTTCGTGAAGGGATTTTTAGGAGTAAAGCAAGTCGACGTTTACCCCTACTATAATTTCTTACACAATGTATTTTTAATCACCTTCATATGCATGTTCTTGTGAGTCGAGAACTCTGCTTGGGTATTGTGGCTGCGTTAAGCAAGCCCTCATGGAGCCAAACCTATTAACGTCTTACTGGGTGGCGTCATATTTATATGCTTATCTCGTGTGGGTACGTTTTGTGTGACATGACATCTCCTACACTCAATTTACTACAGACATCGAGGCTTGCAATTACCGTTCTATGTGGCCAAATTACGGTAAGATGTGCAATGTAAATATGGATAAACTGAGGCGTTTCAGAAATCTAAAACGCAAACAAATATTACTTTGTTGTACACAGTCTTCTCTGGATATCTTGCGAATATTAGTGGAAGCTTCAATGAAATTGGCAGTTTCCACAGTAATGATATAAAATGAATTATCTACTGTCCTTATATGCTCCTGTGACTGGATATTCGCCAAAAAAACAGATGCGCGCTCATCGGCACTCACCGTCGATTGTATGATACCTCCATCATGAAAGTGATGTTAGCTGTTTTGGGCCACACAGTACATTCTATATTGTTCGCTTGTGTGTCTTTCAGAGTCAGGCTACCTTCGGTATGACCGCTGCCGCGCGTTAATGTTAGAGCCCAGTCTGCCACACAGTCGTTCATTCGTAAGTTCCTTCTGAATTTTGCAGGATGTCGTCACTGCTGTGCGGTTGCCGAAGCGAAGACTAAATGTTAATTATACGTTTGTGCGAATGACTAAAAGAAAAACCGCAATGGAAAAAATGAATGGAACCAAAATGATAAAACGCTTAATATGGAAAGCGATATATGGACAAAGACTAGAAGAACCCACCAGGGATTAAGCTGTGGCAAAGAGCTTTTACACCATCTAAGTTGTTCGAGAACTCCCGCCGTCCCATTCTATGCATACTAACCCTTAAGCATATATTTTTCTCAAATGAGCAAGTGGCTGTTTGAAGAAAGGAAAGTGAACACGCAGCGCCCCAACCGCGTTTAAATCTTCAGGCTCTGACACCTATGCCGCGCGAAGAATCATGTGACCACGGTTCCCGAGTGGCCGAAATATGTACGCATGCAACTTCCGGAAAATCAAATCCCAGAAGTCCACAAATCTCCCGATCACCTCATCAACATACCACGATTACTAACTCGTGCGACGCTTATTCATTTACGCCCACATCACCCTAGCGGAAAGACGCGCAGAGCCAGAAGAGACCGTCCGTCGAGGGTTCAGGCCGCCACCGATTTTCCGCGCAGAATATATGACCTCTATTGGTGTCTCCCTTCTCCTGTAAACCGGGTTTTGGTCGTGATTACGGTGGCCAGTAAGGTACAATAACTACCGGATTTACTGATAACCCACTAAATTCAGTATAATTCAGTATATATGAGGGATAGAGGCGGAGCCTTTGAAAACCCTATTGGCCGATAGACGTATGAAAAATAAACATGCAGATATTTACATAACAATTATGCCAGTCATTGATATCATGTAAATGTTTGACCATCAAGCATAAATTTGTCTAGTCTTCTTTTGAAAGTCTCGACGTTTTCCGTTTAGACAACGGAGTTCGGCAATTTGTTCCATCCCTCAACCAGCCGGCAAGAGTAGAATTTGGCCCGCAAATCGAGTCTGGCATGTTTCGTCTTCAATTTGTATTGGTTCACTCGGAGATTTATCTCCCGCGCCAGTTCGAAGAAATCGTCTAACGGAAGAGCACAGTCTAGCCCTCGGACGATCCTGAAGGCCATGATCATGTCCCCTCTGTACTGTATATAAGAGAGAGGAAATATTTTTAGCTTCTCCAGCCGCCTCTCATAAGGTAAGCCACATAATCCGCCGACTAGCCTGGTCGTTCTACGTTGTACGTTCTCCAGTAGGGTGTAATCTTTATTCGTCCAGAGACACCATGCCTGGACACAATATTCCAACATTGGTCGAACGTATGCGCCAAATACTCGGCCGAGAAGTTCTTCATCGAAATTGACGAAGGATCTTCTAATCGCGCCTAGAATACCTATAGCTTTCTTTGATACCTTGGTGCAGTGAGATGATGGTTTGAGAGTTGACGTCATCCACACACCGAGGTCTCTTAACTCGTTGACTGATTCGAGTTGGTGACCTCCTATAAAGTACTGTGATTCAAATCTCAACGGCCTCCTGTTGCTCGAACGTAATCGGACAAGTTGGCATTTGTTACGATGGAGGTTAAGACGCCACTCATCACCCCATATATAATCTTGAATATGGAAAAAAAAGGACAGGGATCATCACCGAGGTCTCTGGTATTACGGTAAACCTTCTTCCGCACACCCCACCCCGAAATCACTGCAAATTTAGCATTCTCGTCCTTTAACACCGTTCCTGTTATCATACCCTCGGCAAATGAGAGTGAGGATTTGTCAGCACGGCACTGTATGATGGTTAACAGACTATTTTTAACAGTTATATGTGCAAAACTTCTTCCTCGTTTATTAAAACTACTAATTTTGTTGAGCATACGACTGGATACGAGCATAACAAATAAATCTTAGAACAAATAAGCAAACTTATACAGTTGCCAGTTTGTGTGCAAAATAACGACGACTGAGGGATTGG